GGGGGGGGGGAGGGGAAGCCTGAAATGTAACATATCTGTTATGTAAAAAAATGTAACACAGGCTGTTAATATTAAATTGCAATTACGCTTGAAATATTCTTTATTTTACTTGAGATATAACATAAATACATAATCAAAATATTAAACAGGAGCGTAAAGAGCCACACAGCAAGTTGATCGTGCAAAGGTAATAGTGTATTACTTAATTTACATTATCGTAGAATATAAACGGCTTGTCATCAAGCCCTTATCAACATAAATAATAAAAATTACAAAAAAGCCGCAACGCATTAATTACAGAAAAAGTGTGATAACATAATAAAGTTTTTCGGAATAATCCATAGATGAACAGACGTAACGTTCAAAATCAAATGACATTAAGATTGTGGTAAAAACATAATGTAGGCGAAGAGATCATCCCCTCACTAGTAAGATAAGAGAGAAACACTTAGGTCCATCTTAAATGATGGTCAAAATCTTAATGAAGAAACGGAAGTCCTCTTCCAAAATGTAGTAATTTATAAGTATTTTTATTTATTGAAAAATGGAAGATTATATATATCGAAAATGTATTAAAGAGATTTGAAAAGTCATTCTTATATTGTTCAATATGTAAATGATAATCGGTTGTAATTAGAATCAATTTTTTATTTTATTAAAATCACTAATTGTAATTGTATAAGAAAGCCATGTAAGAAATCATTATGTGGTAATTCAAAAAATTGTAACAGACAATGTATTATTTGTCCAAGGAAACAATTTTATATATGATAACAATACTTTTCTACACAAATGCCATGTAACGAATAATATTGTATTAATTCCTGTAAACAATATTACTACAATTTGTGTTTTTATGGATATTAATAATCAAATATATGTAGATTCCTATCAACCAACAAGAGCTTGAATAAATACTGATGCATATTCAATTATCGTAAATTTATTTATTTTTAAATATATAAAAATAAATAATTATAAGAAGTAATATAAAAAATAAAGATATTTTGTAACAGTTTTGTATATATTTAAAATTTCCTATCTTTTGTTGCACATATACACGCGCGTGCTCATATATATAATATATACACACACATTCTTCTAATTTTATTTTAAATTATATATTTTAATATATGTATAAAGAAAGAGAGAGAGAAAGATGAGAAAAATAGTAGCATATATAATTATACATAACCCACACAGCACAAAACATCCTATGACATCTTAGGGATATCTCAATGTCCTGAGGTAATCCTAAAGACATTGAGATATCCTTAAGATGTCAGGATGTTTTGTGCTGTGTGGGAAATAATCATTTATACATAATGTATAAAATTATTTTTGTCAGTTATTATTAGTACAACTATTAACATAATAAAACTCTCTCTCTCTCTCTCTCTCTCTCTCTCT